GGATATACTCAATTTCTGCCCAAGAGCCAGAGATTTCCTCATCACAGATAACCTCCAGGACATAAGGTCTTTAATTTTACCAGTTGAGAGCACCAAGACAGCATTAGCATCCGTGGTTATTGTAACTCCACTGCTTGTTTGTGCCCAGCAATATATCTTGTAACAGCTTTACATGGTAGCTTGTCTCTCTGTTACTTTATTTTCAGAGTCTTTAGTGTTGGATCTGTGTTTATTTGGCGTTTATGCTGCATTTTAGTACCAAGCTATACTCTACCCTAAAGGTATTTCCTTCTTCAGGAGTTTATAAACTCTTCTTTCATTCCACGTTTCAAGCAAATATATTTGTAGAGGTTTGGGGTTTTTTTTATATTTCCACTTTCTTCAGGAAATGGTAATGAATTAAATTATTTTTTGTGGACATCTGTTACTTTGGATGAGTTGCAGAAGGACCCCAAACACTCCTTTTGAGCTAGGGTCTGTAGTAAATACCATTTGGGTTTTGTACCATGGGGTTCTGGCCTTCAGTATTTACCTCATGTATATTCTTGAAATCCCCAATTAGAGGTATTTCCCCATTTATGAGTGACAATTTTGTGTGCTTTTCTTGTTCAAAGACTTGAAGTAGTTGATCAGCATGTGGAACTGAATGAGGGAGATCCACCACCCTCACCTGAGCTTTAAGGCTCTATGTTTGCTCCTGAAATCAAATGAAACTGTAATACCTCCTTTTGGTAGCACCACATATTCCCTTAGGACCTTCTTAGGAAAAGATGCAGATTTTTACAGATCTTTTTCAGAGAAAAGAAAACATTATTTAACTGATTTATTTTCACCAATTGTCCTCTGGTGAAGAGTAGGTATTTGGCATAGCATCTTTCCTTCTGGGTTCAGTAGTTCAACCAAAACTGCAGAAACTCGCCTTCAGTAATTTTGTGAATCTTCAGGCATCTTTTGGTAGATTCCTGAGATTGCAAACCAGAAGTCTTCAGTAATTGGCTGACTATAAGTAGAACCAATTTTTCTTCTTCATACTTGGTTCTGATTATGGCCAAAAAGAGGAAGCAAGGGAATTTTATGGAAGATTTTGCGAAGTCTTTGAAGAAGATTCAGTTTTTCATATTAATTAATAATCAGCATGCACTTTAGAGTTACAGTTAATCAGGTCCTCATATTTTTGACTAGGAAAAAACCTTAACATTTGTGGATGGACTGTCTCCAACTGTTGTTGAAGAATTTGTTATCTCAAGATCTAAATGATTGTATCCATGAGGAAGCTTTAAGTAGTACTTGAGGCAGCTGACAGTCCTGAGTTCCCACCTTCCACTTGCCCAGTGGAAGGTCAGTTCACAAAGGAGGGGTTTTCTTTCTATGGAGGGTTTATTCCATCTAGGATGGACTGAGGTCATTGAATTCTTTATCTGGGTCATGGCTTCTTGAGGAAATACATGATAAACAAAAGCAATAGTTCACAGGAGTAAGGGCTTGTAATGATGGAATGATTTCACTGTTTAAAAAGTAATTGATTCCTAGTGCAAAGCATTTCCAGTATTGCATTCTTCTCATCTGATCTATGCAAGTACACAGGTAAAATGTGCTATTGCATTATTTACAGGGTTCTATGATAAAATTCTTTCCCTACCTAGGTGATTCTCTACTCCTAGAAATACTTTCAGCAGTTGAAAGAATAATTTCATTGCTTTCTCAAACTGTTAACTAATCTTTCCCAAGAGCTTACTAGAGAATTCCACCTTAATTCCAAGAGTGAAATTAGGCCATAAAGATATTTGTGAGTGTAGTTCAAGACACAGTTATGAAGTTTGCCAGGATACCTTAGATTTAATTGAACCTAAATGCCTTGGTGAAAGCACGTATCCTATTTCATGCACTTGCATAAAACTTGACGGCAGATTACACATCACATGAATGCAGGATAGATTAAATTGATACATCATTTCAACATGCATCACTTGGCCATCCCACCACTTCCTTCCTGAAGTGAAAGGAAAATCCCAGAAATGTGCATCAGTCACACCACCTTTTCCTTTCAGGCTCTCAGATAGGCATGGATGGAATTAGTTTTGCATGTGAATCAGCAGCTGGATCACAGCATAGGTAGCAAAAATTTTTATTGTGCCTGAACTCTTGGCACTCCCACAGTGTCAAATGGGTTTTTCATTTTGTGTGTGCTGCCACCAGTGAGCATAAAGGCAGAGCTGTATCCCAGTCTAATTCCATCTCTGCTGCACATGGGATGCAGGGGGGCAAGGGAAGGAGGGTCATGGAGGCATTTGGGTAGGTAATACACCTTGAAGAATGCAGTTACTGCACAGGTAAGTGATTTTTTCTGTCTGAGTAGCCATCTGTATAAGATTCCCATTGATGGAAGACTTTTTCCAGAGTTTAAATCTTCTCATAATAAAGGTAGAATACTTCATGTAATTAAATGGAGGAAAGCAGCAGCACAGGTCAGCATGAGCCTGTCATGTTTAAGAGTTCAGAGCCAAACAGTTGGAAGAACATGCTGATGTGTCAAAAAGTTCACTTCAATTTTATCTACTAATACAAGACAGCAGCTTTTTTTTTTTTAAGTCATTCAAATACTAATCAGTCATGAATCAATGAGCTAGAAATGAAATCATTCTTTAAGAGTACTTTGAGACTGTGCTGCACTAATGGATGTGCTACCTGACTGATCTGCTGCTCCTGCCAGTCATTTGTGTGGTTTTGTCAGGTGGTTACACACATCATGACACCATTAGAAGAGTAAAATTGCACATCTTTTAAATAGGTTTGACTGAGACAGAAAGGAAAAAGTTATACTCAGGCTTTTCTTACTGGGTAGGTTATTTGTGTTAAAGTTCACCATTTCTAGACAATTCAGCCTGGATTTTTAACTTGTGACCCTCTATCATATATGTAAAAGTTTCTGTGTTATTTCAGGAAAAGTAATTATGTATGAATATAGATTTTTCAAATGCAGGTACTGTGGCACTGTATTTTTGATATCACCAGTTGTTCTTCCTCCTGTCCCTCAAGCATTGACCTGTCTGAATAGAGCACTCTATAGTGTCATGTTTAATACTGTGTTGAGTTCACCTCTGAAATGTTTGCCTGGAAGGAAGAGTTGGATATACCTGTGTGTTAGAATGTTTTATACTGCATTCTTATTTTAAAGGAGTTTCCATTTTGAATGCTGCTGTTCAAATGTACAATTCCCACTTCTGATAATTGACAGAGAAAACTACACATTCACCTGGCTGCCCATGAGTGATATATCAAGGAGTAAAGTTCACAATTACTCTGTAATGCAGATAGGCAAATAAATATTTCCTATATCTGAAATGGTTACTATTCCTTGCACAACTTTTTGTAACCTTGTTATTAATCTTTTTGATGAGACTTCATTTATGCTTATCATAACCATAAAGTAGTTTTGGAAGATGTTATCAGTGTTCCTAAAAGATTCTGAAAATATGAAAACATGTAAAGCAACTCCTATTTTTGAAATAGATCTCTCCATTTGTTTCTTTAGAAAACAGCAATTACTTGCCCTGTGAATCCATGTTGCAATGTAACCATCAGCAGAAAGCTGCTCTGCTTGCAAACCTAACAGCTTTGCATCTCTGCTTGACCACTCTCATTGAAAGTGGCAGTTTTGAGACTGTCAGAAATGGTTTTCACACAACTCTCTTTGGGGATATGGTCCTAGAAAGCAGAAATCAAGGAATAAGTCAGATTCATTTGTTAAACTCCAATGACTAATTTTTTCATTATGAAGGTTGCAAGGGCAATTTTTTCCCAGTCAGTCTTCTTTTTCCTTATTCTTTACATGGTACAAAACTCTTTCAGTGTAAGTGGAAAATTACAATCCTAAATACAAAAGGACAGAACGCAAAGGGGTACATCTGACAAAGAGGAAAATGCCAACAAATAAAAGCATTTTTGATTCTTCTACTGCTACTGAGATGGCTAAAAAGCCATATATTAACTTTAGTGTGCATTAATATCTCATTGTGGAACCCTATGGTCTAAACCAATCTGGAAGACAAGAAATGCAGAAATCTTCCATCCAGCTGCTCCCTTGTGGTGGATTTGTTAAGCAGCTATGGTCCAGGGCACTCATGTATGCACAGCCTGCTTTGGAGCCTCCTGTAAAGCTGCTTCTGTAGAAGCAGGAGAGATACATTTATTTTCCTTGAAAGATTAAGGTTAGGAGAGTCTCCTTTAGAAATAACAATACCATTACTTTGTGTATATATATTTTTTTTAAGTTATGCTGCTTGTAGGAACCAATAAACATATTTTTTGAGGAGCAGTAAGTTTTCTTCAGTGGTCTCAACATATGAAGCACATCTGAAATCACAGCTGTGAAGATGCTCTTAATCAAAGAATAAGTTTTTAGGGAGTCTTAGTACTTGAATGTCTGAGATTCAGACAGCCCAGATGAATCCTTCATATTTCCTAGCATGCCTTAGGTGTAAAACTTCCTTTAAGACTTAACTGAACAGTGGAAGACTCTGTTGGGTCAGTGTTTGCTTTTCTCCCTCTTAACCTGGAAATGCACATTCCAAAGTGCAGTGCTCTGTTTCCCTTCTCACCACTCCTGCTGCTGAATGTGCGAGCCAACGGGCAATTCTGAATGCCTGCTACTTTCCTGCCACTTCTGGCTTCTCTGCTTCTTCAGAGCTGCTTACTAGTCCTTCTTTTCCAACAATCCTTGCTTCTCTGTGCTGTGTAATCTGACAGGTCTGTGGTACAGCCACACCAGACAAGCCCTCTTGCTTTGAGGTCCTGCTTTGCTGGCTTTCTCCTCCTCTTTACTGCGATCTTCCTCTTACTCCTGCATCCCTTCATCATTCTTTCCTTTGTGTGAAGATTATTTGCCTGCAAGTTGCACCTTGGGAGGGAGAAACACATTTTGGTTGGCTTAAAAACTTGGTTGGTTAAAAGGCTGTACTTCCAAACAAGTGGTCTTCACCTCGTCTCCCGTCATTTTCCAGGACAATCTGCGTAAAAAGGATGATCGGATTGAAGAGTTGGAAGAGGCACTCAGAGAAAGTGTTCAGATAACTGCAGAGCGAGAAATGGTGCTAGCACAAGAGGAGTCAGCCAGGATCAATGCTGAGAAACAGGTCTGCAATCTTGTAAAGTCACTGGTAGCCCTCCCAGGGAAGTAACCAGACAGTAAAGTACTAATTTCCCCACTTTCCTGCCTGAAACACAGCTGGCTTTCTTTGATCCTCTATGTCTGTTCCACTGTTAGGTAACAGAACTCAAAAAATCTGCAAAACCTTCATAGTAAGTTGTATTTCATAGATAAGATTTGCTACAAATTAAAATATAAGGTATCCTGAGCTTTTGAAATACTGGTTTAAGTAGTAACTCTTCTGATCTCTCTTGCCTGTCAAAGCTGCCTTCCTGTGTGTAAGGTATACTTAGATTTACTGTCTTGTTCATTGAATTTATTTGAAAGACAATGGTTTTTATTAGCCTGGTTGTGTTTATGGACTACAGTCTCCTTGCAATTGCAAAACAACTGGTTAAAAAGACAAATCCCTTGGCTTAAGCCAAGCATGCACACAGAAAATACACACCTGTGTACTGAAGCCACAACAAACTTTCATGAATTAATTGATTTTGTGCCACTGATAACTCTGAAGAATCATGGACATGCCTGATTTTAGCTCAGGTAAGTAATCATCAAGAAAGCATACCCTAAGTTATGAATAAATCCATGAGGTTTTGATAAAGCTTGTGAAACAGTAGCTGAAACTGGCACTCTTAATTTTGTGAGCACTCTTAACTTTTTGTGAGTTATTCACTGTTCCTTAGGCCAGTGATTAGCAAACAGGAGCCTTTGGTCAGTAGCATTTCAATGGAGGAATCTCCTTGTCTTTGTTATTTACTTAACAACATTTCTGACCGAGTGCACTTTAAAACATTTTAAGAGATTTTTCTTACCATGTACTCCTGTATCACAGGTGTTAATGAAAAAGAAGTAAAAATCCAAGTTTTCCTGAAGAGAGCAATTGTTTCTCTATGAGCTAGAGTCCAGCTCAGCTGTTTGCTGATAGATGTATTGAGGATATTTCTGGTTGCTTTATTGCAGGATCATAGACAGTGGGATGGAACTCACTTGCAAGGATGCATTCTTTCCAAGCTTCTTGCAGCCTTTAAAAAATTGCATGAAATAGAAATGTTAACTGGGTAGTGAATGCCACTTTGAAGATCAGATCTCCTTTAAAGGAAAACATATCTGAGAAAGCATTGGGTTCTATGATGAGGCACAAAAGTAATCAAACTGGTATGTGATTTGATGCCTAGGATGTTATAATGCTTTAATTAATTATAAAGACACAAGACAAAGTAACCATTTTTATATTCTTTGAGCATCTAGAAGCTGGTGCTCAAAGAATATAAACATCTATAATTATAAAAATAGTATATTTATTATTATATATTATTATATTTATACATATAAATATCAAAAGTAGATTGGGTGTAACTTCTTAAAAATGAGGCAAGGCAGGGAAATGCACAGCCTTGCAGAAGACCCATAAACCATCAGGGTCAAGAGAGGGATTGAGAAGAGGGGAAGACAGCCAAGACAAGTAAGATTTGTGGGTAACAGCATAAAAAAGGAATATGGTAGGTAACAGCATAAAAAAGAAATTAATTTGGATGTAGCAGTGCATGCAGAAGTGAGGAGAAAGGAGAATGGAATGAGAGCAGCAATATTGGAAGAAAAAGAAGTTGACACCTGTGACAGCAGTGGTTTATTGTAATAGAACTAAACTGCCACCTCATACCAATTATGGTTTTTAAAATATGAGCAACAAATCAGCACAGTGGAAAAGGATCTGCAGACTCTTGTTCTAGTCAGCCCTGGGAGACCTGACAAACACAGGTAATGTTAGAGTTTTAAAATGCAGGACTCCATGTTCCATATACTATCAGTGGCAAATCCATTGACTTTCACAAACCATATAATAGGTTATTAATATTCTTAAACCAAGTGTGAGTGCTGTGTGTGATTTTTAAAATGTTGATATTGTTCAAACTGCCTGTAATTTGCTTTTAATTGCATGCTTTTTTCTTTCCTCTCTTGTTTATCTTGCTTTCTACCATTCTGCCACTTCACTGCCTGTCTGAAGCTTTTTAATGAATCAGTGCATGAGGTCAACCATTTTGGCTTTAGGTGGTTCAAGGTATGAGGACATCTCATCTGTGTGTGCCTCTGCCCCAGTATTTTGTGTGGTTACTGTAGCCTTGTCTTGTGTAATCCTGCCCTCCATCATCTCATGATGTGTGGTGTTGTGCTGCTTTATAGGCTTCACATTTGAATTACAGTGTCCACAAAGCCACCCTGGATTTCATGGTGCTCATATATCCTAAAATGTTGCTCTTTTTAATCCAGTGTTTGAAAATATCCTGTTAGTGTGTATCAGCTGTGACAGTGGGTAACTGTGTTAATGCACAATCTGTGTATGCAAGACATCTCCTGCTGACTAAAAACTTTGTTTATTTCACAGTTTTAGACCTGGTCTTTCTTTCATCTGTCTCAAAAACAAAATCGGGCATTTCCTGCTGGGAGCAGCGCCCCCATTGAATTTGGCACAGTTTTATTATCCCCACTGATCTGTATAGCAGAAACCCTGCCATACAGAGAGCAGATCAGGCAGTCTTGCATAGATGGTAAGGCTTGAAAGTTTGTCAAGCCTTTCTTTTTAATAATAGTCACCTGGTTTTGATGGTGCACCTGCTGAATCCTCTATGTAGATGCTGAATTCCTCACAGCTGTGGGGTTATTTAGAACTGTGGCTGAGCCCACTAGTTCAGCCCTCTGTGTGGAAGGTCAGAAGGTGTATGCAGACTTCTTCCTCAGTACTCCCATAAGGCTGAAGGTAGGATTTCTCAGATAAACACTTCTATCATAAAGGGTTTTTTATTAGAGTCAGACACTATTGTAAATGTAGATTGACGCTATTGTAAGTGTGGATTCAGACACTATTTCTGCATGAACCAAATCTGAGTTTATTTTAGAAAAGCTTTCATTATGTTCCTCAGGGGAGAAGAACAGAGTTGTGTAGAAGTTTTTCTCTCTCAGAAGTACAGCAGTAGTTTTGCTCCCTAAGAAAAACTGTTGGAGGCTTTCTTTGAAAAGAGACCCCGTCTTGTTCACCAGCCCTTTCACTGTCCTGGTGCACCTTACCATCCCCTCTCCTGCAGCAGGAAGCAGCAGGTTATCCTTTGTAGGAATTGGATTCCCAGCCCAGGGCTGGAAATGGGCTTTGATCTTCATGAAAGAGTGGGAACCTTTTTTGTGAAATAAGTGAAACACAAGTTTAAGTTCTGTGACTCGGTGTTGATCAGTAATAAGTCTCAAGCAGCACAGTAGTAGGATTCCTGGCATTTTTAACCTTCCTTATTGGAGGGCATAGTTCACAAATATTTTCTGACCTAAAATACTTCATGCTCTCCTTTTCCTTGCTCACTTTGATCCCCATTCTTGAGTGCACATCACAGCTGTTTCCCCAGCTGAGGTTGTTCTGGGGCTGTGTTGTGAAACGGAGCAGTGACCTGGAGCAGTTCATGGTGACAAGTGTCTTATCTTTTGAAGGGATTTTTTCATGTGAAGCACTTCACTGCCCTGGTTCATGAATCTCCATGCACAACTTGAGGTACATCTGAGGAAATGTTGACCTGTGTGTGCAGGACTGAAAAGTGAAGGCAGGAGTTGCTTAGTATTATTACTAAAAATATTTTTACCAGAAATTTATTGCAGCCTTTACAATGGGCTCCTATTTCTTTGAGTGAGATGGTACATTTCTTGACCACAATGTACATTTCTCTAGCTTATTTTATTTCCTTCAAATTTGAAAAGCAGAAGATTTTAGAAATTTAAATACCATTCCTGCTGATAGTAGTGCAGCTCTATTCTCTCATGAATATCAACTCCTGCTTAAATGCACTCTATGTATAGTATCAGCAAACATTTAACTCCTTACCCTAAAATTTAATGGCAAATAAGCATATAAAATAATGGACATTACCTCATCATTCCTTCCTTCCTTAGGTAGCTATTTAAACTGAATTTTTTAAGTTGGCAGTCTGATCTTGACACCTTCCATCAAATTTTTTTGAAGTTATGGTTCACAGTGGGGCATTTTAAATGAGGTTAAGTATGTCGACCTATAAATAGCTGTATCTTTATTCCTGCACTGTGTCTTTTTGTCATACATAGGGCAGATTTTTCTATTTTCCTTTTTTTTTATGGAAAATACAAAAGATTAAATATTGTAAAAGTTGTGTTGATTACATGTATATTCTTACACTCATTACTTTCTCCCACTGTCTCTACAAATTATTTCAGCAGGATTTAATATTATTTCAGGTACACATTACATGTAAAATATGTTGATAACAAGGCTCCTGAAATTCTATATCACATATGCCTACTTCAAAATTGTTATCTGTTTGTTAAGGAAAAAATAAAGATGAAATAGGTTAATAACTCAACCAGAACCTCCTTCACAGTTGTCTCCCATTTCCCTACTGTAAATACAAGGTCTGCAAGGGTTTGAATGTAGAGTAGAGCCTCCAAGAGCCTTTTGTCTTATCTGTAAGTTACTGTACTCAAATTCTCACCAAGTTTTGAATTGTATCTGTCATTTGCACTTCTGTCAGAACACCATTCTAGTTTTAACTTTCTAGCAAATACTATTTAGACTACAATTCATTGTAAGAATAGAATAGAAACTACATTTACAACAGATTTATCATACATTGGATGCTATCCTATCAAATACCTTCTAAAAATGCAAGATAAATTAAAACATATCTTTTTTGCTGGGCATTTTGTTACTGACATGGATCTGAAATATTTTCTCACATATGTTGAGAAATAATTGGAATTATTTCACAGCACCAATTCTGACACACTACGTTACTTTCTGCTGGTCCCTGTAAATGAAAAATATAAAGTGGAATTTCTCAGGAACCAATTATCTGTAGATGTTTTCTGAGCACTACAGAAATGTCAGACTTCTGACTGCTCTGTAATACATGCTGGACAGCATGCTTCTAATGCTTTTTAGCTCTTCTGTATCTCCTAGTGAGAAATTTGGTAAAC